GTGAAGGACCTGGAACAATATAATGTAAAGATTAGTGGAATCAGTGAGGTGATGATGAAGCTGATTGAAGGTTATAATCTCAGGTGCCCAGACAGGATGGCAGCCTTTGGCTGAGAGCTTTTGTTCCTATGAAGAGTCAGATGGCTGAAGCAGCAAGCAAATTCTGGCTAGAGTAAAGAAGATTCTACCTGAGCAAAGTTCGGATGCTGCTGTGTGGCTGGGTGTATCATTCCTATAAGAAAAGAATGCCATACCTTTTATGTAAAACACTGAGCTAAAGAGACAATATAATCAACTAAAATGGACAATATCTTGCTGTATATTCAGCATTGGGTTGTGGGATTTTAATAGTCCATTACATATACATTGCAATTTTGTGGATAATACAAAAAAATGACTGTGATCTGGCCAGCAAAAGCTCTAATACAGCTATGGGAGAATGAGCTGAAATCTACTCTGGCTCATTTGTTGTCAAGGAAAGTGCTTGCTGTGTTTTAAAGTCTTCAGTACTGAAGCTAATGAAGAGATCAGAAAGGATATATCTGGATTTTCAAACCACATCCTGAGTTGACAAAATTGCCTTGAGAAGAAAAGAATGCTTTTCTTGTAGGCTGGTCAAAATTGATAAAGTGCCAAAGCGATAAAGCAATAGTGAAAGTAGCATTCACACTACTACTTAATTGTTTGCTTTTCAGCATATAACATACTTCATTATATATGTATCTCAGCATATAATATATGCTATGCATATATTAAACATACCATGCATGTTACCACAATAATTTTGTTCGCTATATCATATTCCTCCAAAATTTTAGATTACAGTAGTAGGTTTATGAGTGGTGGGAAATTAACAAAGGCTTCAAAAGGTGGAAAGACATCAATGAAGTGAGAAGGTGATAAAAGGAAGCTATGTTCAAATCAGATACAATCTCTGACCTGTAACTGGCATAGAAATATGTTAGATATTAGCAGGGCATGGTCTCTGTGGTCTCAGAGGGAGGGAGGTTTATTCATGGCTCCAGAGCTTTTTCTGACATCTTGATTACTGTTGCCTTCCCTTTTTACTTTAGGGGAGGTCTTTTTAGTGTTCATTCAGTGCTACTGGTTGTTGTCAGTAAATGTATTCCCTTTCACCTACCCACCTCTCTGAGACTTAGGCAAGTTTGTTTGCAAGTTGTCTGACTGAAACGGAGCTCATGTGGAAGAAAGTCCTTTGAGTTGTCTGTCCAGAGCCCTACCCATACCCAGGGGAGAGGATTCCTTCTCTGAGACAACAAGCACAATTTTGAGGGCATTCTTTGCTGTCAGTTTGAGCCTTGGACTTTGCTCTTAGATGTCTTGGCAATGCTGACATTACAAAGCCAGATATTGCACTCTTTTCACCCACCTCAGGCATTTCCAGCTTCCTGTGTCCTTTCACCCTTCTCCTTAAATACTTTTTCTGCAATCACATAGTGACAATCTTTGTATTTAACCCCTCCGTACCAGAAAGAAGAATGTCAACTGGACCATTTTTCAAAGACAGATAGTGTTTAGCAAGCCTGCAAACAGTTTACAGCACATTATCCATTTCAGTAGTCTCTCTGAGAGCGGAAGCAGGAACCTGAGCGACTTTAGTCTGACGTGGAGCAGCCTCAGCTCCCTTTGGTTAATGCACCCTCTAAATTACAGCTTAGGGGAGAAGGAAGAAATGCATCCCTGAATTGCCAGCACGAAGTCTTTCTTCATGCTTCCTTTATCCTTTTAACTGCCTGCTCCTTGGTAGTGACTCCTAAAACTCTTTCAAGAGATACTAATGTATAAGTGTATCATTTAAAGATGATATATCCCATCCTTAGATCTTCAACTCTTTCTAAATTAAAGCTCAGTAGACATTAAAGATGCTGTGCAATATATTTGTCGGGTAGTCTAAGAGAACACAGTGCCCTCTACACTGTGCCTGCAATCATCTTTTCTTTGTAGTTATTTAGAATTTTTTATCCTTTTTTTCAGGAAATGAATGACGCTGTGCAAAAATAAATTGTGTAAGGGGACTGGTGACAGGATGTTTAAGTGAAGCATGGACGTTTCAATTGAAGTTAGTCAAATGCTACCTGCTGGGCTGATTAGCAGTAACAGTATAATTCTGTAGCCTGTGTTATAGAGGAAATCATAGCAGAAAAATGAATGGCCTTTCCTGTCTGTAGTGTGGGAATATATAAATGTCCTGTGCTTTGGTATTCACTTTATCTTAGGTTTTGGAATGACCAAGAGTCGTGTATGTGCTTTCATGGCACATCTATTTTCTTAAGTGCTTGGCGGAGCTACAGGAGCAGTGATTGCGGGGAAGGAACTGATTGCTTTGTTAGTTTGTGATTTTTGTGTTGTGTTCTTTTTAACAGAGGTGATAGCTTTAGGATGAAAAAGCTCTTCAGGTTTTTGTTGGACTTAGCCTCTCTGTGTTTTTGTTAAATAAAGAAACCATGTATAGCTACACCTTCAGATAGAAGCTCTAAAAGTCCTGCAATGTCTGGATGCCTGTCACTGCTGCTAAGACTATCCAGTGAAAGGCAGGACTGTCACCTGTCACAGAACTGCAGAATTTTAGCACTTCTCTCTGTCTGCTCCTCTCATACTCCAGCTGGATTTGTTTGCGTACCAGTCACATACTTGTGTTTTTTCATTTTCACAGTCCATGCAAACACTGAATAACAGCTGTATTCCCTTTTCGGATATCTTTACTAGCCTTCTCCTGACACACCACAACGCCAAACCTCTGTTTCATGAATGCATTTTCAACAGGTCTACTCCATGCTAGGCTGGCTTTATTTTCTTACTTTTTGGGAGCCAATCCACAAGATCACTGTGCTGTTGTTATCGAATAAGGAGTAGGACTTCAGGATCACTTCTGTCATATTTTAAAATACAGAATTTTTTTTTGTTATACTTTTCTTCAACTTGTGGTACTCTGGCAATCTGCATCACAAAAACCTGCAGTCACTGATCACTTCATTGTTTGAGATAGGTCCTTTACTTCACAGTAAATACATGGGTGTGAATAACAGAGCAGGATTTTTCTGACATACTGACAGTATTACAAGGGAAAGGAGATGTGTTCAGAATGTTATTGCATCATTTTAATTACAAGTCAAAGGGAACTGTGTTTCCTTCATTCTTACCTTTTAAACTGTAGAAAACGTCAAAGCCAAAACAAACAAGTTCATGTATGGTGAGACATGTATACCAAAAAACTATACAGTAGTTGCTCAGCTTTTTGAAGGCTAGGCTAGGCTAATATTTAAGCTTCAGTCCCATTGCTCACAAGAAAAACAACATACACGTGAATCCTGAGCCTTTGCAAAGCCACCTTAGGTTCACTGTGGTTCCAGATTAATGTAGCAGAATTTCTCCATGGCCTCTATTGGGGTGCAGGGCATTTTTACTGCTAGTTGTTCAGTAGGGAACTGGTGTTGGCGGGTCTTTTTAATAGTATTAGTGTCAGAGAATTGATCCACCCTTTTAAATCAGTCATCACCGGTCAAATAAAATCAGTTTGTTTCTACACTGGAATCAACAGAAATGGAAAATGTATTATGGCTTAGCTGAGAACACTGTTTAAGGATATCCTGTTTAAGGATAGTGTTCCTACCGTTCATATTTTACTGGTTGTATGTTAGGTCTGTGTGACATGTAATCTGCAAGAAAACACATGCTGTCTTCAGTACAAGAGTAGCTCTTTTGTTTCAGTGTTTGCTGCTAATATAATGTGTTATATTGACCCTTTCTGGCTTCTCAGGTATTTTCCTGATGGTGATGAGAAAGATTGTATAATTCTACACCAAAAGGAAAAGAGCTTCATTTTCATTCAAACCAACATGCAACAGAATCGTAAAGCCCTAGCCCTGGTAATAAAAATAGAAGCTGATACTATTAATACATCATTCCAGGAACACAGAGCACCATTATGTGGCTCCTGGGTTGAGTAAAACTTCATGTAATCACAGTGGCCATAGACTTGAGCCCTATAAAGTTGGAAACTTCACCAGATGGCCATTGTCAAGGCAGCTTCTAAAGACTTTAGAGCTGCAATGTGTTAAGGCTCTAGATACGACTTACTGAGTGGTAGCTTTTTAAAATACGATTACTGAACATAACTGATCCACATTATGGAAGTAATAATAATAATAATACTTTGCACTCAGTGACCTTTTATCTGAGGACCCAAAGGCTCTTAACCAAGGCTTTTAAATACTCCCTTTCTGCTTATAGGAAATAAAGTGTTCAGAGTCTTGATGGAGCGTGAGAGAACTGAGCAGCAGGAGTCCAACACCGTGGCCTATTGCAAGCAGTCAGGCGTCTGGGACTGGGATAGGAGAGTGATCCTGTTCCCATCCCTGTCCCTGACAGCTGGGAGATGACATCCCAGTTGCTAGGGGTGGAAGCTCCCTACTTCAATAATACTTTTAATTTTGAATAGAGCCAGTCTGTGAGTGGGATTGCTTGTACGTTAAAATGCTGTGTGGCAGAAACAAGAATGACATATAATGACCCTAACCTGAAATTTCCTTTATTTGCTCTGTAAACTGCGAGGATAATACTGAAATGATGTTAAGATCTGGGGATACTAAGGCTCAGATACACCATACAGCTGAGGGGCTCAGATATACCACACAGCTGAGGAGCTCAGATGTGGACTGATATATCTTAGGCTCTGTATGTTCAAGGCAGATGGATAAGTACATGCAAAGACTGGCCTGTATTTTAGGGAGAATGGTTATGTCCTTTTTAAAAGTACCATATGTTGGCCATGAATTTATGGAGCTTTAATACTCAGCCTCAAGTCACATCATGGTATTTATCAGTAATGGAAGTAAATAACTGTATTTGACATCTGCTTTTGTATAGTCGGTAGTTGTTTTACTTTATTTTTCTCCCACAGTTATTTTATTGTTGATTTTCAGGGTCTGGAGATCATGCCTGAAAGATTTCTTGGTGACTGCTTTTGTTTTATCTTTTAGATCGATGTGATTGTGACTTTGGGCGGACTTGGAGGGCGCTTTGATCAAACAATGGCATCAGTGGAAACACTTTTTCATGCCACAAATATCACTCCTTTTCCAGTGGTAGTTCTCCAAGAGTGCTCGCTGATTTACCTGCTTCAACCTGTAAGTGTTGGGAAAAGTTACTTCATAATAAAACTGACCTTCCACCCACCCTGACCCTTTAGATCTTGCACCATTAGATGCTCATTTTCTTAATTGTATTCTTTAGGGTTAGAGCCTAAATATAAAATATATT